TAAGCAGCCTGTGCATATGTACTTAGCAGTCTATGTGTGTATTCAGCAGTCTGAAGTGTATATATGTATTGCATTTGTTGGAAAATGAACATGTTTATTCCTGTGATTGATTGTGTGGGCAGAGCTCCAGTACACTGCTTTGCCAGGGGACATTTAATGCTGATAAGATGGCACTGAGAGCAGCTGCAGCATGAGCAGTAGCAAGAGTAATTTAATTTAAAAATGTTTTAATCACAACCAGATATAAATTGCAAACTCAGAAACAACCTTGTTGTTAGAGCTGAGTGGCCAGTTAGATCTCATCCAGCAAATCATGATGCCTCAAGTATCCTAAAGTGGTGAGTAGGATAACTTAAGTTGTGGAGATTGAATTTGAGAATGTCATGGCAACATTTGTGAGCGCTTGCTCATTTTGGACAGTGGTCAGCAGACATGACAATAACTGCAGGGCAGCAGGCACAGAGCAGGCTGCACACTCTTCTTCTCAGTACTCCATTCTCCACCATTTAGGAGTTAAATCCCTTTGTTTATACAGCCCTAGTCAAACCTCCATGCATGTGACTTTCACAGCCTTCCTAAACACTAAACTGCAGGAGCCTCCTGTATGTGATCAAAGTTTTTCACTTTACAGAGCAGGACATAAAAAACATTAAAGGAACACTATAGTCACCTAAATTACTTTAGCTAAGTAAAGCAGTTTTAGTGTATAGATCATTCCCCTGCAATTTCACTGCTCAATGCCCTTTCATTTAGGAGTTAAATCCCTTTGTTTCTGTTTATGCAGCCCTAGCCACACCTCCCCTGGCTATGATTGACAGAGCCTGCATGAAAAAAAAAAAATGGTTTCACTTTCAAACAGATGTAATTTACCTTAAATAATTGTATCTCAATCTCTAAATAGAACTTTAATCACATACAGGAGGCTCTTGCAGGGTCTAGCAAGCTATTAACATAGCAGGGGATAAGAAAATCCTAATTAAACAGAACTTGCAATAAAGAAAGCCTAAATCGGGCTGTTTATGGAAGGCTGTGCAAGTCACATGCAGGGAGGTGTGACTAGGGTTCATAAACAAAGGGATTTAACTCCTAAATGGCAAAGGATTGAGCAGTGAGGATGCAGGGACATGTTCTATACACCAAAACTGCTTCATTAAGCTAAAGTTGTTCAGGTGTCCCTTTAAAGCAAGTTAATATCTGACTGAAAATGAAACGATTACTTTTATGCAGGTAGTGTGAGTCACAGCCCTGAGGAGGTGTGGCTAGTGCTGCATAAACAGGAACATGAGTGATTTAACTCCTAAATGGTAGAGAATTGAGCAGTGAGAATGCAGGAGCATGATCTACACAACCAAACTGCTTCATTATGCTAAAGTTGTTTTAATGCTAATTGTGGCGAAAGGGACCTCCCCACTGGTTTTTGGAGGGGGCTGCTTATAGCCCCTGGGAGATGGTGCCCTTTAAAACCAGCATTGGAGCTTATAGATATGTATTGGACCGTGCTGGCCCTTTAAGAACCATCTGGGGACATATTGTGACTTTTGGGAACAATGCCCCTTTAAAATACTTTGCTTATGGCTTCTTCCCACTTGGTTCAGTAAATGGGGCTTACTGAACCAAGTGCTTTACAGGCAGACCACCCAGAACTTGAAGTGTGCAGGCAATTTACCTCCCAAGCTGGGAGCCTGCTGTAGGTGAATTGTCGACCGCTGGGGGGAAGCCATTCGTGCAAACGAACACGTGGAAGCGGCCATCTTTTTTCAACCAAACGCGGTCAGCGGTGTGTTTGGCCAAATTCATGGAACTGAAATCGGCAACACATTTCCACGAACACCGCTAACCCTTACTTTCTCCTACACTGATTTTTCAGCCGCAGAGACTAAGTCCTGTTTAGTGATGGGACTTAGTATTTTTTTCAGTGTGAAATTGACCGACCGCACAGCCCAAATCTATGGAACTGTTTTGAGCATGAAAGGACTTCCAGCTAACTTTTTAACCCCAGGAAGTAATCACCTTAATTTTGGATATGTTTATATTTGAAGTGTGCTGAATGATTATATGTCGTTTTTATGAATATTGACCGTATAGTTTTAAAGTTATAGTACATGTGTAAAAACTGTATTTCTCTGCCTGTGATAATTACATTAACCCATTGTGTTCAGTAATTATATCACAGGCAGAGGGGAGGATTTTGTGTGTAATTGCTGGGAGTGTCTGAGTGTATTGTACATACTGATTGGTTGTTCTGCAAAACCCTGTGAGCGATACTATGTTTGTAGAATGTGCATAAAAGCAGAGTGTTGGATTAAAGCTTCAGTTCTACTTCACCCTCAATTTGGAGTTCCTATTGGGGGAATCTGCTACAATGGATTGCTATGCTAGTCATACTCTCTTGCTATATCACTACTAAGCTCTTGTAAGAGCTTGTTCCTGGTATTGCTCTCTGAAGAAGTCTACAGTGGTTATGGTGTCTGCTGGAGTGCTTGGAGCCCTCAGGAAGCGCTAGGAGCATCCTTCAACGGAGGTACCCAGTCAGGGTGCCAGGTGATCCATTACACTTATAGTATCTCTTTAAGCCAAAACTTAGCTGCTCCACTTGGGGTATTGGGGTTATAATGTTTGCAATACTGCTGGAAGTACTAGATATGCCAACATTGTAAAAGTTTAGTTACCTATTGGAGCGAAGATGTTAGGAGCATCTGCTCAGGAGTAGCTGTACTGAAGGAAGCTGTTCCTTCTAACAGCCCTTCTAGTATGAGTGCATTGCATTGGTGGCAGTATACTCCCTGCATGGCATCATTTATCATTAGCAGTTTGGACTGAGGCTGTTGGCACTTTGGGAGATAAATGAGTCATCAAGTAGCCAAAAGGAAACTTTAACGCCTCTGAAATGGCCAGAGCTTACCTGTGTGAATGTGCTTTGTCTCCTAGTGAGGACCCTACTGGGATGAAAAGAAGAATGTATGGAATTCTCTGCGTCTGTTGCCTGCAGCTATTATCATGCCCAAACTGAATAAGTGTTTTCTTTAAGATGGAACATTCAAATTCTGCAAAGTTAGGTTACCCTGCTCTTCGCTGTGATACTTCAGACATTACCATCTTATAGCTTAGAACTACTTTTCCACTCACCTCTCCCTTCAAAGCTGTTTTCAAGGTACATAAAAGTATTCTAAAATCTAGTAGTGAATAATATAAAAAATCTAAATTGCTGAATCTCTGCAGTTTTCCAAATGCCTTTCATTGTAGTGGTTCACAGTGCCTACTATTTTCAAAGATGTACTTAGTATAAACTGAGGGCACTCATTTTGTTCTCATACTGAAGGACGGGTACTCACCGTACAGACTGGATGTGTGGGAAAGCTTTGTTTTTCTCAGGCTGGAAGAGGTGAGTGCCTACTGACTTTTTCCTTTATTTATTTTTTTTGAAATCCTCTTTTTTAAATTAAATAGCTCCTGTTAACCCCTTAAGGACACAACATCTGGAATAAAAGGGAATCCTTAATGGGTTAAACGTTATGATATATATTTTTTTAATTCACATACGTAATATTAAAATGTAGCCAACTCAGAATCAGCAAAAATGCTTGATATTGTGTAGTCATTAGGCCAAGTAATACTATAGCCAATTTTGCACTGCAGCACTTTTTTTTCCTGCTTTTTGAGTTGCTTGAATTTAATTCAGTAATGAAATTCTGATGAGTCAAACTGACAAACCCAAATTTTCTAATTATTTTCCGTGTATTAATTTAGTAGTGTGGCAATTTTGAAAGCAATAAAGACGTTGAGGTTACAAAGAGGGTCGCCTGTGTCAATCTCTGGCTGTCATGTCATCTAAATTACACACTTATTTCTGTATCTATCTATTTATATATTTATGCTTATCTTGCACATTCAAAAGCGTATTTGTATTTTCTATCAATTCAACTTATCACTCTTATTTTAATCTCTTTTATCTCATACCTAGGTTATATATTGTTTGATTCAATCATGCTATAGCACATACGTTTTTCTTTTGTTTTTAATTTTTTTATTTTAGAGATAGCAAGCTAACTCTCAATATTTTATATTCATTGTATTTCAGAAGCTGAAATCCCATTCTAAGTGCTCAGTAGTTATTAAATGTTTAAGCATTGCAATTCATATTGTTCTTATTTTACAATATTGCGAAATATGGTGCCATTTTATAAACAAACTAAAAAATAACAAAAAAAATACTCGCTTAACAGTTAATAGATCTCAATTAAATTAGCGCATACAAACACTTTGTAGGACCCCTTCAAAAAGAGTTGAATCTGGCACAGTGTGGCTCACAAACAGAATGTTTTATTTAAAAAGCTACAGAAACTAGCTACCTACATATAATATGGGAGTGCAGAATACATCTTGCACATAGTGATCTTAGAGTTCCAACAGGAAGAAAATAAACTGTATTCAATCTGATTTGTTAACCAAATCCAGTAAGTTATATGACTGCTGTGATATGGATGTAGGGTACCAAAAATATTCATACCAACCACGGTAATATACACACATTGGATATATTGGCTTCTGTTAGATCTAGTGTGAATAAGCAATAAAAAGCATTTCTGGTGCTTTTGTATATTAATTCTACCCATACTAAGTATTCACTTTAAAACGGCATAACATGGGGGGCGGGGCCTGACAGCCAAGATGGCCTGTCGTGCTCTCTGAGAGCTCCTGCACCAGCGGACACAAAAACGCTAATTATTAACTAATAATGCCATCAGCACACAAGCCCAGAGAGCGATGCAGGACCACACGAGGAACAAAATGATACCTGTCCTGCACCGACACGCAATTAAAACACCTGAACTGGCCACGCGGCCAATCTCCCCGCTCACAAGCAAGAAATTAACACAGCCCTGCTACCCGCCCTCTGGACCGGTGGGGGATATCCTGGTCCTCGCTGGGGACGACTACCCCCGCAACACAGCCTGAAACCCAACGGTCTCGGAGTTCCCCTTGGACTGCCACTATAATAGCACCCAAGCAGCCCGGTGAGAGCTTGGAGAAACCAATTAATAACCTTACCGACCAAGCCGATTACACAGCACTGCGAGACGAAATCTTCGCAGCATTCTGGCACAAGCTGGAACGGCGCTTGCAAACGCATGCCGAAATTAAACATGGAACCCATTCATCGCAGCATCCACGAGGAGGGTACAAAATGGCCACCGCGAGAACACTACAGCGTACACAGGGCCAACAATACCGCCCAACCCAGCATAACCGACAGCGAACCCATGTAACCGCTTGGAGCAACAAATCTCCTTCTGGGTAGGGAGGCATACTCGACCAAAATCCGACCCACCATCCACACACCCGCTTCGGGAGAGCGAGGCTCCGGAGGGCCCACGGTCCCCTTACGTATGGTATAGGGACCCGAGGACACTGGGTAGTGACTCCCGATATAACCCGGGCTGGAGGATCTGAGCGGTCACAGCTCCACAAGAACACCCTCCCAGGACACCTCCTGGGATGCGGTCAACCAAAGAGCCCTGAAATGGAAGGCGGATGCCACACGGAGATAACCCTAGCATGGCCCGCAAGTGGGGTCAGTTGAACAATGCTGAGAGCAACAGCTCGCTACACGAGCGGGGCACTGAGACACTCTGTGTAACGTTAAGTCAAGCTGCCTGAAACACCTCCCAATGAGATATGTTCCTGTAACTAGTTCATCAATATGTGACTATAATTAATATATGCCTGTGGTTAATATATACCTATAGTTAACGCAACACCTCACCTGTTTAGCATGAACCCAAGACTAATTGAGAGACATGACGTTTGAGTCTGCAGATGCTGCACTAGTCACAATAGTAAGCAAGTCCCAAAAGCCGGACCTTTGCAACATGTCCCTAGAAAGCTTAGCCAACCTGTACATTTTAGGCACTCCACACCACAGTCAAGCTGACCTCTACCTAATGCATAGACACATAAAAATTTATTAGGAAAGGCACATCTTGCTGACCCAACTTACCCCCCTACCTAGGCTCACAACGCCTGTAACCTAGATAAACCAGCATAGTATGACATTCGACTGTTACGTACCTTGAAGATCATTATTGTAGCATTTCTTGTATTACTCAGGTACTTATTTTGCTATAACCAAAAGTTGGTATTTAAAAATTGTGCTGTTTTTTTTTTCACATGCTAACCAACTTTTAACAAATGTTTGTCATATACTTGTCGATGCTGCTGGGTCATGACGAGATAACGAGATAACGCACTCCAAAAATAAAGCATTAAAAAAAATAAAAAATAAAGCATAACATCTATTTTAAATATGAACTATTTGGCATATAAATTATGTAAAAACAGCAATGTGTGTAAGATTTGCTGTTTAGTAATGCCTACAAATGTGTAAATTTACAAAATTTTAGTTTTTATATAGGTGTAAACTATGTATGTAATTCATTATGCACTGTCTACCTGTGAAGTTGCAGAGGGAAATATTGAAGCCAGGACCCAGGGACAAATTAAAACTAATGCTGGACCAAAAAGATAGCTAAGGAGGGTTTTATGGGCTGAGGTTATTTTGTTTATGTAAGGTATTGGGAAGGAATTAATAATTCACCTTGACATTTTGCCATTAATCGCTCAAACTACCAACAAGTAGGAATGAAGGTATAAGAATGGATGAAAACACTAATTTAATATGTATTATTAAATGTTCCTGAAAAAATATGTTTTTTAATGAACATGATCTGACTTTCAGCACCTCTGCAATTACAAAATTGCAACTAATATTTCTTAGAAACAACATCCGACACATTTTTACACAAAACAGTTCACAAACCCATGTCAAAAGAATCAAGAGAATCATTCAAAAACAAGTTTGGTAACATGCTGGTTGAATATTTATCAAATTAAAATTTAGATGGATGTTTTCGGACATAAATAAGTTGTGTCACTGGTAAAGGACAACTGATTAACAGCTATCAACATGTGAAGTTAGAAGTATGAATATTATGTCAAGTAACTTTCTTCTTCATAGTGTCTCTATATATAGCTGTCAAAGGGAGTTATAGAATTTGAATAGGCCACTGTATAATCAGAATTTCAATTGTTTTTAGCAGTAATCTTGTTTGTTTTCTGAATGTTTGAACTTTGGTACATTCTAGTAGGGATGATATACCGTTCTGCATATAAATTATGTTCATTTAGATACAGACAAATACATAAAGCAAAACTTTACAAGCAATTATCGAAATCCATGGACAGAAATTCTGTTTGTTTTTACTAATCTTATGATGAAGTTGCAACTTTTTATTATAAAAGTCTGTGGGGTTTTTTGTGGGCAGAATCGTACAAAGTTTCGACTGCAAAACTGACAAGCTCAACCAACTATTGAATTTTGTATAAAATCTAAGCTCTGCAAAGCTTTTAGGCTTCATATTTATATATAGACACGCAAATACTGATATAAGGTATGTCACTATATCATTCCTAAAGCAATTATAACTTACATCCTTTCTCTATTTAGAACGATGTTTCCACCTTTTTTGTATAATTACAGCATTAAACTGAAAAACACAAATATTCAAATGCAAACATTATCTATTCAAATATGCAACAATAATACATTATGATTTCAAGCATTTTAATGCACATTTTTCCCTGTTCAGGCAATTAAATTGCAATGATATAAGAATATTTAAAGTATGTTAGCATTCTGCACACTTTTGGATATTGTGATGTAACCTGCTGCACTGATAATTAGTATTTTTGGATTGCACTATTATTATTTAGACCTTTGAATAGATTTACAATGCATTTGTACCTATTAACTTGACCCTTCCACTGGCTTTTTATTTTTTTATTTTTTTTTATTTCAGCACATAAATGTACATACAATATTATTAATGTAGTTTTTGTTTTGAGGAGTTTTATATATACATATGTATATAGTTTAGCATAACCTATTCAAGGGGAACTACTACATTCAATTGTATTTTTATTTTTTTGTTTTATTTATTATTATTATTATTATTGCCATTTATATAGCGCCAACAGATTCCGTAGCGCTTTACAATATTATGAGAGGGGATTTAACTATAAATAGGACAATTACAAATAAACTTTCAGGAACAATAGGTTGAAGAGGACCCTGCTCATTCGAGCTTACATTCTATAGGAGGTGGGGTGTAAAACACATTAGGACAGGAGTAAAACACATTAGGACAACCCAACCAGACAGTATCACCTTCCCCATACCTACTCGAACCCTAAAACCCGTACAGGCCAGACCATGACAACACCATTAGACACCCATAAAATCGGAAAAGAGGACACCCCACGACTAACCCGGGGGAAGCTCCCCAAGCCTACCCCCCCCAACGTAAACGCAATACCACAAATTCACTAACACAGACTCCCACTGACCAGGTCAGGACACCCCCAGACACCCCCCCCCCAACCCAAGCAAGACGGACGGGTAAACCCATTCAAACCAGACCCATCAGTGGCATGGAATTGTTTTATAGTTTAATGTTCACACAAATGGTATGCATGTGATGGCTCCGGATCTGAGTACACACTTATGGCAGAAATGTTTTAAATGCTGTGTTTTTGTTATTATGTTTTCTATTATGTTACCTAATGTTTTCTACTACTTATGATAGAAACCGACAACACGATCCTTGAAACAACACTCACAGGACTACAGACGAGGACAACAAGGGACACACTCCAAACACCAACGGAGGGACCACGACCGGCACCTTACACTACAGACAGACACCACCGCACCGCCAAATCGTGAGTGCTGCACCACACCTAGCGCGGGGGGGGAGAGGAGTAACAGGAACGTGAAACTCTTCCTCCTCTTCCCCACCCCCGAACCCCGGGCATCCCGGGCGACACCAACCACACGACCGACCCAAGGTGTAAAACACCGCCTCCCCCCACTTTACCTGGCAACTACCACATAAGACCAGGATAGACACTTTGCAACCCAAACCCCCCGAATTCTATAAACCTCACCCATCCCCCTATCCCACCACCCACTCTCCACCGGAGCCCCCCTAATAGGAGCGGACGGACGCCCCGAGACCCCCTGGACCCGAAGCCCACACCACACTAAAGAATGCCTACTAATGAACCACCACCACATCCACACACAACCAGGCCAGACACAATCTCCTACATATCCATTAACTGCAAGGGACTTAACAATCCAGCCAAGCGACATCGCACACTTCGCTGGGCCAATAGAATGAAGGCAGACATAATCCTCCTCCAGGAAACCCATTTTGAGACGAAAAAACCCTTTCCCCTCATCAACAAAAACTACAAACAATGCTACCTAGCAAACTCGCCACAGGGCAAACAAAATGGGGTAGCTATCATGGTTCATAAACACTGCCCGATCACAATCCTAAAAAGCTTCCCAGATCCCCAAGGGAGATACTTGACGGTCACAGGACAATTTGCCAACCACAAGTACGCGATTACCACAGTCTACGCCCCAAACACACCTGAACCAACTTTCTGGACAGCACTACGCACACAACTAAAACTGTTCCCCTCACACCACACCATCCTAGGCGGAGACTTCAACGCAGTCCTAACCCCATCTATAGACAGGAAAAGCACAGAGGGAAACAAACCATGCAAGCCCCCCACCAGGAAAAATGACAAACTCCTTCTGGAGTTTGCCACCCAAACAGGCTTCCAAGAAATATATAGACTCCAACACCACACAACCCCGGACTTCACCTTCTACTCGCACCCACACTCTTCTTACTCCAGGATAGACCTATTCCTAATATCCCCCTCTCTAGTACCTCAAACACAATCCACCTCGATAGGTTCAATCACCTGGTCTGATCACGCCGAAGTTTCCCTCAACATAGATAAGCCTCACACAGCCAAAGCATGGACTTGGCGACTAAACCCCACACTCCTACATAACCCCAAATCAGACAAAAAATCCAACAGGAGCTCACAAACTATTTTGAGGTCAATTCGGGATCAGTCCCATCCACGAACATACTGTGGGCAGCCCATAAAGCAACAATCAGAGGAACGATAATTAGCGCAGCCAGCGCCCACAGAAAACAAACACTCCGGGAACTGGAACAACACCTGACCTCCCTAAGGACAATAGAAGCCAAACACAAACGCACCCCATCTCAACCATTGCTTGACCAAATTAAATCACACCAACACGCGATAAAGACCTATATGGCTAAAGACTCCCAAAAAGCACTACAATGGACCAAACAACTGTACTATGAGAAG